AGCTGAATCCGGGGGGGGGGGTGCCCTCCCAACCAGGGCAGGGAGCTTCATCTGTGGGAAGTCCAGAAGCCCTGAGAAAAGGGGGGATGCCTGGGGCTTTAGGCCCACAGCTGGGAACTTGGCTGAAGCATCCAGTTTCACTGGGTCAAGATGCAGAACATGTTCTTCCTCCCAGATCCATAGGGGCTCTGAGTCCCACCCCATAGGCTACTGGGTGATCCTCCTCACACTCACCTAACTTTGAAAACACTACTAAACATGACCTGGCCCAGAACAACTATGCAGGACATTCTAACACCGATGCTGCTCTCAGGCTCCTCCCTCGCCCAGGATGCCCTCTCTTTCCCCCCAGCATAGTCTAACCCAGCCTTCCTTCAAGGCCCAGTTCAAGTCCCATTACTTCCAAGAAGCCCTCCCTGACCTCCTGTCCCCCGTGGTCCCCTCTCCCTCTTTTCTGAACTCATAGACCTCAGGGGCCTGAGCCCAGCCCCTACCCTGCAGTTGTGCGAGCTTTCCTCGTGTGTGCCGTTGTCTTCATGTCTTGCTGCACTGCTAGCTAGCCCTGAGCTTGGCACGGAGGTTGGGTCATGCCAGCTGAGCCCTCTGCAACCTGCACCCCACTCACCTCCACGCTGCTCCATCTGAGGGCCCTGTTGAAATCTTCCACAGTCAGCTTCCGCCTTTTGGTGTGTTTCATGAACTGAGAGCTATTCTGGGAGGGAAGAAACAGAGTCAGGGGACAGGGGGCAGGGTGTGCAGGGCCCCCAGTGAGAGGCAGCCTGGGGAGGAGGCACAAGCGACACCAGACCAGCAATCAGAACACCTGCATTCCAGCTCCGCTCTTACGCAGACAACACCCAATGTCACAGTCCCTCTCTGGGCCTTGGTTTCTCACACACAGGATGTGAATGTGAACCCACCTGGGCTCCCGGTGGGGCTGTTGTGAGGAACACATGAGAAGATGGCCAGCAAGTGCTTTGTGTGCCAGAAGCCTAGTTGGTTAGAAGCGAAGCCCCAGCACCACCTCCACTGTATTCCCTCAAAGCACGGAGTAGGTGCCTGATACGTCTGGTGAATAAACCCCTGTGGGAAGGGGTAGCCAAGGAAAGCTGGGGGACACTGGGAGTGAGGGTTCGTACCTGGGTGGCCTCTCTGAGACGGTAGCACACATCCTCTGCGAGCAGGGCCGCCACCTCATCGCTCAGCTCCAGGCCCGTGCTCTCTGCCATAAGTCGGACTGACTCCCGAGGGATCTCCACAAACCGCCGCTCTTCTCGTTCTGACATGGCCCCGGTAGAGCTGGGAGTGGGGAGGGAAGGTTTAAAAAGCCACCTAACCCCCTGAGAGCCCAGGAGCCTGACTCAAGCCCCTCTCAACCAGCCTTGCAGCTCCTGCTCCAGAATCCCCAGCATCCGGGTGAGGAAACTGTGAGACTTAGAACAAGACTTCCGCTGGGCCAGAAGGCAGACAACAGTGATGATGCCTGAGCCAGTGCCTGGCCTTGGGATCCACAGAACTGGGTCCCAGCCCTGCCCTACCACTTCCTACATGAATTTGGCCAAGACCTTCATCAGTCTAAACAGCTGGTGTCCTAAATTGTAAATCAAGGTAATAATCCTTGCCTTCCTCAACCCACAGGGTTGCTATGAGAATAGAATGAGATGATGTATGAGAAAGTCAGGAACCAGTACACTACACAAATGGAAGACATTACCACTGTTCATTACAAACAAAAACTTCCTGCCTTCTTCCTTCTGATTCTTGCTACAAGCACTATCTACTAAATCTTGATGAAAACACTACTTTACCTGACATTCCCTTGCTCAAGTCTTTAATACTTCCCCACTGCTTATAAAAGGACAGCCCAAACTCCCCAACGTTACATTCTGCTTTTGGTCCCGAATCGCCCCAGTTCAAGCTGATCCCTCCTCCCAGTAAAGTCAGGCCTGGTATCTTCCAGCCTGCCTATGTCCCATCACCAGTGCCCAGGCTGGTCTGTCGCCCCGTCTACTCCAAAGCCCCTACACCTTCCTCTTTGCTAAGGTAAATCCAGACTCTCCTTTGAGGTCTTCCTGCCCCATATGCCATCTGGGACTGTCAGGCTTTTTATAGTTAGGTTTCTGCCCATGTGTCTGGTCTTCCTCAATTTGGCTGTGAGGCCTAAAAGTACAAACCTGCTCCTCCATTCACAGGATATAGTAAAATGAGAACTCAACAAAAAAACTGCAGCTGGGCCCCGCCGGCGTGGCTCAGCGGTTGAGCATCGACCTAGGATCCAGGAGATCAAGGTTTGATTCCCAGTCAGGGCACATGCCCAGGTTGCGGGCTCGATCCCCAGCTGGGGGCGTGCAGGAGGCAGCCGATCAATGACTCTCTCAACATTGATGTTTCTATCTCTCTCTCCCTCTCCCTTCCTCTCTCTGAAATCAATAAAGATATATTTTTTTAAAAAAACAACAAAAAAACCAGCAGCTGTGACTGACTCCAACAATACACAACACGATTAGAAGTAAGGTGCCCATGGACCAAAGTGAGGCATCAGCCCCACGGGAAGCAATGCTGAGTTCCATGGAGACCCACCCAGGTACTGCCCCACTTCTTCTCTCTGGTAAAATTCACTGGGTCACCATGGCCTCCAGGTCCCTAAATCCAATGGGCACCCTACCTGGCCTCCCCACAACATTTCTTCCAATGGCTCCCCATTGCATTTGGAACAAATAACAAACCTATACCATGGCTCCAAGGCCCTGCATGTGCACCTACTTCGGCTACACCTCTTCCCACTCTCTCTCATGTTCTGTATTCCTGCCCATGGCCTCTTAGTTTCCTCAAAAACACCTTATTTTAGGACGACCACACATTGTTTCCTCTTTGAAAGGCTCTCCTCCACCTCCTCTGGCCACTTCCCCATCCCTTTGTCTAGTAATGCCTAGCTACTTCAGATCGCAATTCAAATGTCACTAGCTCAGGGAAGTCTTCTCAGACCCCCACAATGTCCCAGTACTTTGCCTTCAAAGTAGTTGTGTAACTTTTTGATTAACACCTACCTCCCCACTAGATTGTAAGCTCCGTGCCAGCAAGGATCATGCTTGTTTGCTCACCTTTGCATCCCCAGCGTCGAGCACGGTGTCAGCACATAATACGCCCTCAATAAACACTCGCTGAAAAAGTGAATAAAGAATAGCTATTCTTCTAAGCACATGCCATGCCTGAGGCACTGAGCTAAGTGTTTATAGGCTTATGCCTCATTTACCCCCGTTAACAATGAGATGGGTATTATGTAAGTATCGTGTCTATGCCACAGCCCAGGAAATCAAAGCTCAGCTCAGAGAGGTAAATGTTAAATGACTTGTCCAAGATCACCCAGCGAGCACCGCGTACGGAGCGCGGACTTAAACTCTTGCTCCCAATCATCAGGAGTGGCCGGCTGTGTGGGAAACAAGGCCTGGATTCCCAGCGCCAAGACCTGGCGTTGGAAGCCCACCAATGGACGGTCAAGTTGGTTTCCCCACCTGTACAATGGGAGCATGAAGCCTGCCCGAGAAGGCGCGGAGGGGGTTTCCCTATTATGTGCCCACATCAAGACCCACAAAGTCGGGCCTCGGACCAAGATCCCTGGCTCCTCAACCTCCCCTCAGCATCCTCAGCCGCTAGCCAGACAGGCGGGGAGGCGTGGGAACTGACCTCTACCGGCCTCGGCGCGGCGCATCCTGCCACCCAGCTCTGCGCATCACAGATCCTCAGGCGGCGGGGTGCGGTGCGGTGCAGGAGGTCAAGGGTTACCGAACTTGGGTCACGTGGTCAGCGAGGGGCGGGCCCCAGCGAGGCGGGCTCTCAGGCGGGTTCGAGTGCTCAGGCCCGGGAGTCCTTGGGCCCTGAAGGGCCTGCTCACCTGAGGGCTCCGGCAGGCGAAGGTGACGGCGGCGACAGCGACAGCAGCGGCTCCCTCTCAGCCCGCTCCACTTATTCCCTCTCTCAGCTATCGGCCCGCACTCCACGAGCACAGCCTATGGGCGAGCACCTTGCGAAGTTCCCGCCCTCCAGGAGCCTTCCAGCACTGTGATTGGTCACTGTGAAACACCGGCGCAGGGGGGTCACGTGACGCTAAAGAGTCTCGTTTCTTAAAGCAACAGCTCTTCGGAGTTTGGGGAGTAGGTGTGTAGGGTTTGTATACGGTTGTTTGTTTTTAAATATATCTTTATTGATTTCAGAGAGGAAGGGAGAGGGGGAAAGTGAGTTGGAACATAAATGATGAGAGTCATTAGTGATTGGCTGCCTGCTGCACCCCCGGACGGAGGATCCAGCTGGAAACCTGGGCGTGGGCCCCTACGGGGAATCCAACCGCGATCTCCTGGATCCTAGGTGACGCTCAACCGCTGAGCCCCTGCCGGGCTGGTGTACATTTTAATAAGCACGTTCTCAAGGAAAGCGTCCCCATTCCCTTGTCCTTGTCTGCTTCTGAGTTTCCAAGCACTTGCATTTATGCGATTGTAGCAAAGCTTTAGACTGGTGTCTGGCTTAGTTTTCCTGCCCGCTTGGTGGAGCTCAACTTACCTCTCCAGCGTCGCCTGCCACTTACCCTTCCTGAACCAATAGATGAGGCTCCCGGTAGGTATTCTCTGAGGCCAGAAGGGTCACCTGACTGGGCCAAACCCACGTGCAAGCTCCAGACTCCAGGGCTGTGCTCATCCTGGCACCGTGCCTCGAATCTTCCCCATTCCCATCGAATAAGCCAAATGTAAGCCCTCACCTACCTCTCAGACCTGGACCGCGTTCCACGCACACATTTCCCCAAACTTGGGCAATTTTCAATTGAGAAGCAAGTGGGCTTCTTGAATAAATGATGGTATTTGGAGTCAGACCAGCCTGGGTTCAAATTCTAACACTGCTTTTGGGCAAATTACTTAATCACACTTCCCCCCCATCTACAAAATGGATAATAATACCCCCTCAGAGTTACTCTAGATTAAGTGAGATGTTTGTGAAAGCACTTTGCAGAGTTGGTGGTTGAACCTTCTTTCACTCACACATCATGAGGCAGACATTAAATTAATTCCTTTATGTTCATCCAGATGCAGTAATTTGCCTGGGCAACTTTATACAGCAGAGCTTTCTGCAGGGCAGCACACATGAGGAACATCCTCAGTCTTCCTTCCTCTCAGGGTAGATGCTCCTGCCTCTAGGAAAGATCCTCTGAGATCAGAGCTGGGAAGGCCAGATGGATGTGAGTGGGGTTGCTATGGCAACACCACCTAAGGAGACTGTGACCCTGCTGTTTCCTCCTGTCATATTCAGAAAGGCACTTGAAATAGTTTCAGGACTGTGCTTGAACACTGGAGTGTGTGTCCACCTATGCACAAAGGGAAAGACTGAGGTCCTGAGTCTGATCTCAGCCCAGCAGAATCTGGGCTGCTGGCACATGTCCTTGCTAAGATATCATTGGTCTGGACAGCCATTGGCAACCTTGGAGGCATGAGACAATCAAAGGAGGAAGGCCCAGGGTCCTGTGGGATGTTGTGAAACTCTATGCAAGCTGTCTGGGGCTCACTTGCCCTCAACCTGAGTGGAGGCAGGGGCCAGGGAAAGCAGTAGTTATAGGAAACTGCACTACTCACTAGCTGTGTGACCTAAGGCCTGTTAGTTCATTTCCCTGACCTGTTTATCAAGTGTAAAGTAGGATAACAGAACCTATTTCATGGGTTGTAAAAATTCAGTAATTTGTGTAAAGGTATATAAAGGATTTAGCATGTGACCAGGCAGAAACTCCTGGTACTACTGGCTTGTGATCTAAGACCGTTTTTTTTTCAATCCTCGCCCGAAGATATTTTCCCATTGATTTTCAGAGAGAGTAGAAGGGAGGGAGGAGAGAGGAGAAATGCTCAAATGAGAGACACATCGATTGGCTGCCTCCCACAAAGTCCCTATGGGGCCGGGGATCAAAACTGCAACTGAGGTATGTGCCCTCGACAGAATCAAACCTATAACCCTTTGGTCCGTGGACCAACTGTCTAACCACTAAGCCAAGCAAGCCAGGGCTTTAAGGCCTCTTTAACTGCCCAGCATTAAACCTTAAAAGATCAGAAGGGTCCTAGAGACCATCTCCAAGCCATCTCCACTTAGTCCCTTCCCCACACAGTGCCAGTCTTCTTGGTGGGTGCCACACTCCACATCCTCACCAGCCCCATGTGCTCATGTTCCATGAGCTGCTTCTCTGTCCCTCAGTCTCCTCCTTCTAGGCCTGGTATTACTTCCAGGTTATCCCTGACACAATTTACAGATGGGTGGATCCATTTAGGAACTTGGGAAGAATTTTATTCTCAGCGAGACACAGAGTGTTTAGGTGCTAGAGAAAATTCCTACAACCTGTGTAATCAACTCACAGTATAATGAAGCGGTATCACAACTTTAACACTGTTTCCACTAGAAAATTATTACAGATCCAGCACATTAACTTTCCTGGATTTAACTAACTTGGAAAAACTGGCACAGTGCTGGGGACTGGAGATATAAAAATGAAAGGGATACATGTGAATCTACAATTATCTCAATATTTGAAACTACATAATTAAAAAATGAAAAGGGAGACAATAACAAAATGTTTTCTGACCCACCACAGAGGCCTGAAAGGAACAGCTTCTAGCAGTCCAGGAGTTGGGAAGGGCCACAGAACCATATTTTTACCATGTTCTGGGCCCCATTCTGGATGCTTCACATCAGGGTATCTGGACCTTGGCACAACTGACATTTGAAGCCAAAGAATTCTTTGTTGTGGAGGGCTGTCCTATGCACTATAGGTAGGACATTTAGCAGCATCCTTGGCCTCTACCCACTAGAAGGCAGTAATCCCCCACCCACTTGCAACATCCAAAAACGTCATTGCCGAACATCCCCTGGGAGCAGAATCACCTCAGATGACAGCCACTGCTTTATATGCATGTGTAATAGTAATTATGATTAAGTTGGATGCCTATCGTGGGCCAGGTTCTACGCCAGCCACTTGCATATATAGTAATTCCTCACTGAATGCCATTGATAGGTTCCGCTACTTTAAGCAAAATGATGTGTAAGGAAATCAATTTTATGGCAGACTGACATAAACAAGAGTTAAGTTGCTAAGGAATCTCATCAATGTTATAATGAAACAACACTGAATGAAACAATGTTGAAAGAAATGCCATTATTCCAGGCCCTGCTGTATGATCTGTGACAGTAGCAGCAACCAACCAGAGGGTGTTATGCCCATTGAACAATGAGGAAACGTAAGCCACGCAGCCAGGGCTGAAGCCAGCCCTGTATCACTCCAAATACCAAGCTTTCTACTCCACAGTTCTGCTTCCCAAGGAAGTCAAGGAAGAGCTGACTGCGATTTGCTAGATCAGTAGGCAGCAAGCAGACAGGCTGAGAAAGCGCACTCCAAGGTAGACAAATAGTATTGCAAAGGCAGAGTGTGAGGGAGGGTTGTGTGTTTAATTTTGTAGTAATTTCATGTATTTTTCTTCTTGTGTTACCCTAAGATTATGAGCCCTGTCACACTTCAGTTTAATGTAGTGATTGCTCAGCACCTAAAGGCCTCTGCTGTTGTCCCCATCCTAGGGAGGGCTGTATTGGGAACCCAGTCTATGTCCTTACTAGCCTTTTGTTCACCTTTCCTCACTTGCTGTCTCTTTTCCCCAGCCATATATATATTTTTTTTTTAATCATCACCAGAGGATATTTTTTCCTTTCCTTTTCTTTTTTTTATGCTCACCCAACGATATTTCTCCATTACTNATATATATTTTTTTTTAATCATCACCAGAGGATATTTTTCCCTTTCCTTTTCTTTTTTTTATGCTCACCCAACGATATTTCTCCATTACTTTTCAGAGAGAGAAGGGAGGGAGAGACATGGCTGTGAGAGACACATAAATTGGTTGCCTCCTGCATGTGCCCCGACCAGGGCCAGGGATCAAGCCTGCAGCCCAGGTACATGCCCTTGGCTGGAATCGAACCTGGGACCCTTCAGTTCCCGGGTCAACGCTTCAACCATTGAGCAAAACCGGCCAGGGCTCCCCAGCTATACTATTAGTTCTTTTTAAGTGTGAGAGAAGGGAAAATACTAGGAAACTAGATTGGCACTGAGAATGGCTCTAATGGTAGTATAATTTGCTATAAGACAGATGCAACATTAGTGCCCTCCCTTCAATTAGGTCAACTTTAGACCTTAGCAAAAGGATTAGTCACATCCCCTGGGTGGCTGAGGCTAGTTGAAGCATCAGGCCAAGAAATGAGGGGCTACTGAGCAACGATACCCCAGCCTTTTAAAAAAGAGCTGTTCCCACCCAGCCAGTTTGGCTCAGTGGTTGGAGCATCGGCCCGCAGACTGAAGGGTCCCGGGTTCAATTCTGACCAAGAGCATGTACCTCAGTTGCAGGCTCCATCCCTGGCCCTGGCCAGGGCACGTGTGGGAGGCAACCAATCAATGTGTCTCTCACATCCATGTTTCGATGTTTCTCTCTGTCTCTCCCCCTTCCACTCTCTCTAAAAGCAATGGGAAAAAAATCCTCAGGTGAGGATTAAAAAGAAAGAGCTGTTCCTACCAAAGAGAGAAGATAACACTTTAATGAGAACCAAGGACTGTTTATGGTTAGAACACACAGTCAAAATCTGGGAATGGAAGAGCCAGATGTCTTCTGGGACAAGGAACCTTCTTTGCCTACCCACAACAGCCAGACTAGGCCTCCGGACAAGCAGGGGAGCGTGGCAATCAGACATCCTAGGTAAAGATCAAACAAGGTAGCAGGCTCCGTGTTCAGCTCACAAGCCCTAGAACAGGAAACGCACATCAGTCAGACGCAGAGCCTGAGGCACATGTCCTGGATCTTCCAAGCAGACAGCATGACAGTTTTCTTCATCTGTGACTCAAGCATTAAATCCCACCTCTACCCCTTTTCCCACACACCCTTCTCCCAGGCAACAACCCTGGCATGCAAAATCAGGCACTTACCCAAGTAATCATCCATCAGGGAGCCGATAGCAAACTGCAGGAGGGATGGTAAAAAGGAAATGAAGCCAAGGTGAGCACAGAACTATCCTCTAAGCCCCAGCCCCAGGCCTTCTTCCCCCATCTCCTCTTTGTGGCAGAAGAGCACAAAACCCCCAGGAAGTCTAGGTGGTGAGAAATCAATAGCTCCTGGCTCTGCCTGGTGCAGTAAGGGAGGCAGGCAAGAGACTCACAATGTCATTCTTATCCACACGGGTCCCCACAATCTTCAAGCGGATCTCATCATCCTGCTGAATCACAATGTCCTGGAGAGGAGGGAACAGCATGCTCAGACACCCCCCAGCAAACACTCTCCCTCAGAGCAGCTCATTCTCTCCTTTCTCTGATTTCTTCCTACCCACTCACTTCATCCATTGTCTTGTAACATGGTGGGTTGGAGTTAGGATCAAACTCCATCTCTGATGGGATGGACTGAAAGGAAAGTGAGACTCAGTCAGCGCTTTAAAGGGATGCTGCAGTAGATGGTCATGAATGAGTGTCTCTCCTTAGCCCGACCAGCGTGCCCAGACTTACATGTCTAGAGATGAAGCAGGACATAGGTCCAATTTCTGTGAAGAGCCCAACCTAGAAGGAAAATGAGTGACCCTCGCTTTTGCTTTTGTTCTCCAAAAGTCTTTCAAGTTTCCCATCTTTATCTGATTCCTAATGAATTCTCCATGTATTGAAACCACTCCAAACTATAACATTTGTTTTCATTTCTCTTTTTTCAAACTTTGGTGAAGAGGTGAGGCCTGGGACTTGTCAGTCACATCACCGTGGCCACTAGACTTAATTTCTCTGAGCTTAAGCTTCTATAAAAAGGGATAAAAGCACCCACCTCCCGGAGTCACTCTGAGGTTTTACACATTACCTGGTCCACAGTAATACTCAATCAGTGGAGGCTACTATCATTATGGCTCCATCCATTGGGGCCAGGGATGGAGCCTGCAACCAATGTACGTGTNAGAGGCTACTATCATTATGACTATTAATATATTTTTGAGAGAGAGAGAGAGATCCATCCCTGGCTCCATCCATTGGGGCCAGGGATGGAGCCTGCAACCAATGTACGTGTCCTTGGCCGTAATCGAACCCAGGACCCTTCAGTCCGCAGGCCGATACTCTAACCACTGAGCCAAACCAGCTAGGGCATGACCATTAATATTGACTTATATGACTCTGAGTGAGGTAGGGTGAGACCACACCATTTGACAGGTGAGAAAACTGAAGCACAAAGAAGCAACGTGGCCAAGGATACAGTTAGCAAGTGGAGTTGAGACCCACACTACATCTTCTGAGGGACCATCCCACTGCCTCCCCTATGTGTGGTCTCACCTTGTTGACCTGAGTGACAACAGCATCCACGACTTCCCCTTTAAAGGGCCGGAAAACAATGGCCTTGTACTTAACTGGATATAAGACAAAGCCTCGGCCTGGCTGGATCACACCAGCACCAATATTGTCAATGGTGGTGACAGCAATTACAAAGCCATACCTGCAAGGAAGATGACAAAGAGGAAGGCACTGTATGTGCAAGAGCCTATAAAACCATCTGCAATAAGAGTCAGTGAACCTGGGGGTAGAAGGACAGTACAAAGGGGAAGTAGATGGCACCCCCTGCTCCCAGAGAGCTTAGTGGCCAAGAAGACAGGACACTAAGTATCTATAATGCTAAACACTGCTCTCATAATTTCACAATAAATGTCCAAAAAGGCTGCAATCCTTGAGCCAAAAGACCCTCAGAATCTCCTGGTAGGAACTTATTAAAATGAAGATTTCCAGGCCTGTCCCCAGAAAATCTCAATTATGTAGTGATAGGATGAGGCTCAGGAAAGTGCATGTTCAAGAAAGGGCCCAGGTTATTCTAGTGATGGAGGCCCAAGTAATCCATAGCCTTAGGCTCATCCCAGCTCATGCACACATCACCATGAGAGGCCTCTCTGTGCAGAGCCCAGAGATGTGCCATGTCACGTCCCTGGGCATGGGGGACATAGAAAACCAGCAGAATCATAGGCGGAGAGCAGACACAGGAACGGGGATTAGACTGTGAGCTCCAGGAGGGCTGGCCTCACTCTATCTTTCACTGCATTGTTCCCAGCGACCAACACAGGACCTGGCACAAAAGACATCTTTAGCAATGTCAGCTGAGGGGAAAACGTCTTGTGATCCAGCTTTGCAGAAGGCGCCCCAGGTACACAAAGCAGGAAGCAACTGAATGCCTGGGGCGCCTAGGAGCCTGTGAGAGGGTTCCCCAAAGTAGGTGGCAGGACCTTGCAGAATGAGTAGGAGTTGGGGTCGGGGCTGCAAAGCACAGGGCGCCGTGTGCCTATCGATCAGACGGCACAGAGCGCGCGGCACTCACTTGCCGGTGCAGGTCCCCTCCACCTCGGTGAAGAGCTTCTGCTTCACCGTGTTGAGCAGGTTGGGGCCAAAGTAGCGCGGGTGCAGCAGGATCTCGTGCTCCAGGGAGATCTACGGGGAAAGTGGGATGGAGACCGGGCACTGCAGGGAGCTGGGGCAAGAAGCGGGGCCCCCGTCCCCGCGTCCCACCTCGCTCCTCCTCGCGACCCCGCCCTCGCCGGCCCCGGTGCCCCGCTCACGTGGTAGAACATCTTCCCGGAGCAGTTAGGAAACCCGCCGAGCCCACACCTTCGCGGACCCAGCGCCTCCGCTCAACCGGAAACGCACACAGTCGCCGCAAGGCCGACTTCCGGGCCTCCGCAGACCCGATTGGGCCTCGCTGTGCGCGGAATCCACGAGGCTCCGCCCCATCCGCCCACAAGCGACCAACCCCGGGCTCTCTCACGATAACGGCGCGCAGGATAGATGCTGAAAGAATGCTTTTAAACGGAATTAGTGAATTAGTGAGAGAAGGCATAAATAAAGCGCTTTAGCAGAGTGCGTCCATTGAGCACTCCAGGTAGGTGGGGTCAGAATGGAGTTAAGTGGTAGGACACCCAGCTGGTGTCTGGGAATTGCTTCCATGGGGGGGAGGGGGCGGGGACAGAA